GGCCATCCTGCATAAGAACGCATCCTAAACCCTGTCTCGAAGCATCACTATAAATGGTGAAACTTCGAGAAGGATCCGGAATAATTAGTACTGGTGCAGTGGTCAATCTCCTTTTGAGCTCTTGAAAACTGGACTCACAACCTTCAGTCCACTCGAACGTGACAGACTTTCTCGTCAATTGAGATAATGGGAGGGCAATTCTGGAAAATCCCTCAATAAACCTGCGATAGTAACCCGCCAAACCGAGAAAACTACGGACCTCGGATGGATTCCTGGGTCTGGACCAGTTTTGAATAGCAGATATCTTGGATGGATCAACCTCAATACCTGCCTGCATGATAACATGACCAAGGAAAGTGTAATATCCCGTCAGATTATTAATATAAATCATGTTTTAGTTCTGATATAATAATGTTGTCGATTATTATTTTCGGAATTAATTATTTTCAGTCGAGATTACCCGAAATTATTTTCGACGACCCGTTTACGTTCGGAATAATTTTGGTAATTAAGTATTATGCTTAATAATTAATTAAGCATAAAGTGGGGATTAAGGAGTATTTAATCGCGTTTAATGTATAAAGCTGTATCATTTCTTTTTCCTTTATTCCATCTTGCCGTGGGCATTTCTTAGGCAAAAGAAAACTTTTCCTTCCTTTGGGGTAGCATGAGGTGTCACTTTTTGACCATGTTTAGTGGTGACTAATATGTTTAAGAGGTGAGTTAGCAAGATTGAGCCTTCCTTAGCTTCCAAGTGGCACCACAAGAATTATCCAACAAACTTCCACCTCACCTCTTTTAGTTGTTCGGTTTATTATATAAAGAGAAGAGTTATGAGAAATTTTGCCCTAATCATCCCTATAATATATGCGCTGCATATAAGAGTTAGAGAGTAGAGAGAATAAGGAAGAAATTCACCTCAATATCACAACGCAAGAAGGCTTAACCGCAAGAAGCTAGCACCGCACGCGCGAAGGCTTAAGCTCCGAGTAATTACGAGTGTTTTGTTCGAGTAGACGAACAAGCGGAGAGGTAATCACTTGGGATATTTCTTGTCTATATTAGTAGTATCATGGTCGGTTTATATCATGTTATCCGATTTCAAATTAAGCCATGTACCGTGTTCGCCATGCGTAACGTTCATGTAGATCATGTCATGTTTAAGTTCACAATCTCTCGAGCAATCTTGTGTGGTTAGTCAGTTTATGTTAAATCATGTTCAATCAGTTTGTGTTGTTCGAAGAATTTCAAGTTCAGTCATTGTTTTTTGCCGAGAAGCGTGGTCGCGCAAGTAGCGCGTACCACGGGTCGCACATAGCTAACGTTTATGTTAAGTATCAAACCTTCGAACACTTCATGTCAATATATTCAGTAAATTATGTTTCATGTTCAGTTGAGTATGAATTGCCGAGAAAAGACCAAGTGTAGTCGTGAAACGGCTTACTGCCGTTGGCGGCGCACGGTGCGTCCGCCGCGGCCGAGTCCAACGTTTCGTGCAAAATTCATGTTTTTAAGTTATTTCAGTGTTTATGTTCATGTCATGTCAGCTTATGTCATTTGAAGTTAAGTTACTTGAGAGATGTTGTCGGACGGTCGGCAAGGGCCGGTCGTGGCCGCGCTGGCCGCACGTAGCGGCAGCAGCGCGCCAGCAGTCAGC